TGCGTGGGAATTCATGAATATTTTTACATAATGGGCGGTCAAACGAGTATGAAGGTTGCAGTGGAAATCTCGCGGGTACAATACTTTTATGTGTGGGATGGTTACCTGTCCAGCCAGTAGCTAGATTACGTATTAGCGCCTTGATTTCGGCAAGTATACAGTTTGATGGGCCGTCTTTTAGACCTCCAATCAATCCATGTCTCATAAGGTTTAAGCCGAGCCATACCTAGGATGAGATCATATCTCGAATCCAAATAGAGGATAAGACAGCGTATAATGCTGTCAAAGTCCAAAAAACTTCACACCTTATTTCGACGGAACTTTAGGCACAGTGACACGACTATCAGTCGCTAAACGAACGTTGATGAAATTACCTTCATGCGCTTTGAGCGCTTTAGCATATCGCTGACTTCCTTCAAAGGAGCGACGTCGAGCATGAATGTATGAAACTCAGGAGTCGATTAGGATCGACCAATGCTTCTAAAAGCCTTTAATCTTCGCCTCGGCGACTAACGAGCCAGGCTTGTATCCACGATCTGTGCTGGCGGGCACATAGCAAAGTGGGGCTAAGCCCTGTTTCACTCTACCTCGTAGAGAGTGACGAATTCAGTTCTACCCCAGTAGGGCGCCCCGCACCTACTGGGTGTCGACGTTTTCCCGTGCCATACCCGGTTTCTGGTTGGAGACTGAGGGTTTCGACCCATGTGAGTCGGTTGTTGCTTACGCAAAGGACAAGTGGGACGCAAGTGTTTAGTGCTTCCGCACATATAACAGCGTTTCACTTCCTATCGTTGCTCTAGCAACATGAAGCTCCGCTTCGCCTTCATCTTCAACATGGCTGAGATCCATCGGTTCTGGCTTACAGTAAGCCGAAATTGCTCGCAGAGGTTGCCCTCGCAAAGTTTCGGTTGTACCCATTCCAACCAAGTCTGGCCGACTTGAAGTTGTGCTCAGTATTTTAAGCGATGCTAACAGCTTCCTCAAAAGTAGAGGGATGGACCCGAAACACCCCTGGTCCTGGCAACGCCATTACGAAGATCTTCCACGAAGACAGTCACATAGACTGTCTCAGGGAGAGGGTCAGACTGTAAAGCAGCCATAAGAGTTCTCAACTCTTGGACATAGTCCGCTAACTCATTCTTACCCTGATGGGTAAACAAGAAGCCTGAGCTCACGCGATAAGCCTGGTTAGGCGGCGAGAAAACTCGCAATAGGTCTAACCTGAGCAAATTTCATGTGGGAAACGCCAAGTCGACCGACGTGCCACCCGTCAGAGCCCACTCTCTAGATCTTCCATCGAGCTTGGAGATAGCCAGCAAGACCCGCTAGTACTCCAGTGAGATAAGGCCAGAGCTCATGGCCATCTCAATCTCACGGATCCAGAGGGTCAGGATTTCCCCCCTCCTTCCCTGAGTAATATTAAACGCCCACTCAGAGGGGACGAGGTTTAGCCTCTTCTGGTGGCATTGCCACGTAGGGTGTTGGCATAGCCGATGCTATTTTGTTTTATAACCTGCCCTCACAGGGGCGTTTCATAATGCACGAAGGTCTCGACTCGTGCATTTAGCACATCAGGACCTTGTGCAGCTAGACACTCCAAATATTTTGGGCCTACGGCCGCGGTCATCTTGTCAAGCGCGACCTTTTGGGATCCAGAGAGGGGTGTGGATTGCTCCATCGTCACAGAGGATCAGTCGTAACGAATAAGGCGTAAATTGACTACAAGTGCTACCAAATTTAGCAGTGCTACACAGCTTCTGAAGTCAGTGGAAGACTTAACGCTCAATTAGCAACTCTGGTTCTACGAACCCGACTCAGAGAAGTCAACAAGCTCAGAGATCTTACGGTATCTGATCCAGGGGTACCAATCAATATAAGAGAATCAGAGCACAGAGTGCCCAAGATCAGCTACCTTTACAGGGGTTGCTAGCTCTTCCGATCAAGACGCCTCGTAAGGCACGTGTCTTATGTTGATCAAATGGGAACTGAGATTTTCTTTATTCTTTTAACCTAAAAGAACACCTTAGAACAAAGTAATTAACCTATTCGCTTATGTCCTAAGTTAACCTCTCAAAAGATATCGTAATCAATGGTTGACAGACATCAGTCTTCAACAATTGGTACTGTGTTCTAATATCATTTCAATGGGGATCCCATCCTTTGTGTGCACCACACCTATAGTCGACTACTAGCCGACGTGTAACCCCGTAATACCACTGGTCATACATCTTATTCTTGGTGTAGAGGGGTACGCTTAATCAATCTATATTTTATGATACTAGCACGCAACCTCAAATCGAGGTCGTTGTACTATAAACCTTCGTCGATCTGTATTCGCACCGGTAAAGCCTTCTTGGAATTTGAGGGGACGCGTCCTGATTCTTTCCACCTAGACTGGACACATATCAATGGCGTCATTCAAAAGAGTGACTTTGTCGCACTTGCATCGACGCAGTGCAACCTAATGAAACTGACCACAGTGTAAGTCGGTGCTCGATACTTCTCGCACACGCAAGTGCAGAGGAACAGTTATCGATCAAACAAAGGTGCTAGGCAAAAATTACAAGTCGAATTGTGTGCAATCTCCAAATTAGGCCTTATAAAATATACATGCTTTTGATCTTATTCAATGTATTGAACTATATATACGTGATATAGCTACCTGCTTAACATCATTCTGCGTGTCTAGTAGCGACCGGTAGATGATTTTGTTCACACAATGGCGTCTAAAAACCGATGTGTGGAGGAATACAGAAAATCACCATCGGTGGTAACATATTCAACCTTATGACTAATGTAGTAAATATTGATGAATAATAGTTATAGTGCGAATATTTATTATGACCAAATTCAATGTCGTTGGTGTGAAAGGGCTTACCCTGTTTCATAGTGTTGATCGAACAACGACAACACCTGATCAAGTGCTTACATTCAGCCACTCCGATCGGGATCATTGTGCAATCAAGCGTGTCTGTGTCTTGACCCGAAGTGTGTGAGTCTATAAAAGCAACGCCTGTCTTCTTATAGGTTGCCATCGTACATTTAGATGTAAGCAGCTTTTCTCATTATTACAAATTGTAGTAATGTCACGAAGGGGTCTCCTGCTTGTGATCGACCAACTTGAACAACTGTTGCATTGTGTGTCGAATCGTAGTATCTTTGTCGAGGAGTAGGAGACGGTGTTGCTTGAGTCGAAAGCTGACGTTACAGCCGACGCGCACAATCAGATGCAACAGAGAGAGAGCGTTAAATTTTGGAGCATTTCCTAGCTAGTTGCAAAATCTCGCGGCATGAGCAAATCGTTAAATCGGACCACCACAATTAATGAGCGCAAACACGATACCTTAAACTGATATTTGTTCGGCACCTCTATTTGTCGTCCTTCAAGCACACTATTCAACAGGAACAGCGTGAATGCAATCAAGAGTTTTTGACTGCACATGTGTATAACTTTTGGTCAATATGTCCCAGTAACGGATTGCGTCGCTGCAACGGAGGACAATGTCTAGCTGTGGGAGCTGAGAAAAACAAGGACTTTCTGCAGTACGAGGAGGCTGGACAAAAGAAAAGAATGATGCGTCTCTATCTTTTACTTTAACACCATATAGTTGCAGTTGCTGCCTGTACACAAGTAGAGAAAAAAGAGACCCTTCACGGTGTGCTGCATACTTTGCTAAGCGTCGCTCAGTAGAAAAGCTCGATATGGCTATGGTGTCGACATTTTCTGGTAGTCGTCGTGGCAGATACGTCGGCGTGAACATTTGCTGATCAATCAGCGATGCAGTAGCATCATAGCGGCTTGCTTTTGATCCTTATCTCAGAAGCGTAGGAACGCGACGCATCAACAGCTGCACTTCTCGACCTCTTCTCCAAAGCATCGCAACCACGCTGTCACTTGCTCAAAAAGCTTTCGCCGCTACGCGAGGCGGTTGATGTGGGATTCTTTGAACCTACCGACAGTGATGTTGAAAGACACATTTGCGATCTCCGTCGAGAAAAGACCGGATGATGCATACGCCCACGGCCGCGCCTTCATATAATACATAGGCTTCACATCCGGTTTGTAAAGTAGGATGTTATCGCTGTTGAGGTATAACATAGGCACGTCGTCGTCCTGCACCCCATCTTGATGGATTGGAAACAAGTGTGCCGTGTCACCACACAACGTTGACTTCTTGGGACCGTGGTCCTTAAGATTCGTGCCCACCGCTGCCGCCGCGTGATCTGAAAATGAGCACTGCGTCTCGGCAAACTCGCTCGCGTAAGAAACAGCTCCTTATCACCGTATGTTGGAGGTGACACGATGTCGTTTTGTGCCACAAACGACGCCAAGATTACAGTCGCACGCGGCTACTGCTTCTTGTCCAAAATCAGCATCGATGACTCCAGTTGGTAGTCTGCGCGGCGATTGAATGAATGGCTTTTCAGCAGAAAATGGCTGGGCTCAAACTTCAGCTTCACGGGCGTCTTGTTCTCAACTGTTGCTTTTGGCCGCTGAAGTGTCGGCAACGCCTGGAACGGGGCCATGTCAAACTCCGAAAAGTACTTCTACTCCACCGATAAGTTACGATCTCCGACCACCGGTTTCGCCATAAGTTTCCAGTCGTCACTGATGCGATCGTGCATGAAAAAAATACCTGTTGCGGACTCGAACAACGCAGTGAAATCGATAAAGAACGTTGTGTCGGCGCCGAGCAGCACGATCTACTCGAACTGTGAGTAAGTAACTGCCAGAGGCTTGATCGTGAAAGATTGGGACTTAGTGCGGCACTCGTCAATGTCCGCGCAAAACACTGGACGTGTAGCGTTCATGACACTTTTGGCTTTGGCAGCCAGACTGCAATATATCGTAAGCGCGAATTTCTTCCAACTCCTTTTTTGATCGAATCAGCTCCACGGTCGCAGGCTTCAGATCGCTGTAATACGGTACTTCAACAGGCAAGCTGATGCCCATACTTCGCAGCTCCAGGATCAGCGAAAAGCCCATCCGAGAGATGGGCTTATAGAGCGGCATGGCGATGCCACGCTTCGTTGTTGTACGCTGTGTGATCTGACTCAGGGAGGTAAACAAGCTGCTTCTCCATCACCTGCGTCGTGGACGCAGTTTAGTCAGTATGTGCGGAGAAGAATGTGCGGCGTCAACTGATTCTTGCCTTCTCTCGCCCACAATCGACGTCCGCAATAGTTAGACAATAGCAGCATTCGGCTCGTCCAGATTGTCTGGCTTTTAGTTCGTAACCCGGTTCCATGCGTCCACCTCTTCGCAAAAACGCTGTCGCTTGGCCAGCTGCCTCTTTTCCTCCTCGGACAGCTTTCCGATGGTAATGTCGGAGAAGCAAACTTGTTCGCGTTTACCAAACGGACCCGGATACAATTTCCACGGCCTCGCCTTGATATGATAAACAGGCTCCACTTCCGGTGTACAGAGTAAGATGTCGTCGCTGTGAAGATAAAACAACGGGACGTCGTCGTCAGGCACGCCATCTTAGTGGATCGGGAGCACTTGTGCCATGTCACCACACAAAATTGACTTCTTTGCACCACCGTCGGTACGCTCTGTGCCGACCGCACTGACGGCATGATCCGAGAACGCATACTGCGTTTAGGCCTACTCACTTGCATAGAAAAAGTACTCCTTGTCGCCAGACGAAGGGGGAGCAGCAAAATGGTTCAGCGCGATGAACGGTGCCAAAATCGCAGTTGCTCGTGCTTGTCTCTTCTTGTTCCACAACACCAGAGACGAGTCAACTTGGTGACCTGCGCGGAGATCGAACGAGTGGCTGCTCAAAAGAAATTCGCTTGGCTCAAAGTTTAGCGGCAGTGAGGACGGGTTTTTCGACGTAGCTTTTGGCCGCTCGATCGTGGAAAGTGATCGGAACGGCTTTATGTCGGACCTCGAAAAGTAATCTTGCTCTACGGAGACATTGGGCTTTCCAGGTACTCGCTCCGCCATAAACGACTTTTCGTTACTTATTCTGTCGTGCATCAGGAAAATGCCCGTCTTGTTGTACTTATCCGAATCCCAGAGCTTGAGCGGGACTTACAAAGAACGTCGTGTCAGCGTCCATCATCATGATTTCTTCAAACTTTGAGAACGCAACCGCTAGAGGGTCGATAAACAACTCGCGAAACTTAGCGTAGCAGTATTCGACCCTTTCGCAAAATACCCTGCGAGACGGGTCGACGATGCTTGTCGTTTCTGCCGCCTTTTTACATATATTATAGAACCGCATTGTGCCTAGCTGGTTCTTGGCTAGGTACAGCCGCTGAGTATCTACGTTCAAGACGCCACAATACGGTATCTCTAGTGGGTCCGAATTGCCGATGCCACGCGTAGCTCCAAGACAAGAGACATAGCCGACTTGATATTTCCATCGTGTCCCGGAACCACGATCCCGCGCGTTGCGCTTGTTTGTTGTGCAATCTTATTCAGCGTACGGACAAGCTGTGTCTCCTGTTCACGAACTCCATCCACCTTACTTTTCAACTTTCTCGTCTTGCCCTCCTTTGTCAAGATCGCTTTCCAAGAAGTCAACAACGTCGTCAATTAGTCGACCTTCTGATTCCAGATTCATGACTGCGTCAAGTTCCTTGTTCGTCAGTGCATCAGCCGCCATGCGCTCGACAATGTCAGATTTGTTCGCGTTGACTTCCCATTCTTTGGCAATTCTAAAGAAGCGTTGCCTCTGGTAGACCTGCTG